TGAATGCATTTGTGACATAATCAAGGACAGGTAAAACATAGGAATGTAATGATATAAATTACTGTGTGCTTGTCTTTTTTTTTYCCCTTTTGCTCAGCCTGGAAAAGTATCCTTTGATAAAGGAATTTTCCTTTTAGGCCTCTCATTAAATGAAGATATATAGATGGATTGAATATTTTGGGGGGCTTTGCTTGAGCATCATGCCTATTCGTGAAGACAAAGTTGAAAGATGGAAGAAGTGTTTCAAAATAAAAGAGCACTGTTATGTTCTGTCAGAGGTGAATGTCAGTTTAATTAGAAACAGTTCTATGTGAGCTGCATTTTTCTACTGCTTGTTCCTCTTGTTCCCTTCTGGAGTACTTTCTAGTTTGAGCATTGGGAGAACCCAATGCCAAACTATGTATTAGCCTTTATCTGGAATGATTAGACACCAAAGAAGTTGTAGTTGCATTTCCTCTTGTGACCCTTCTATTAGCCTTAAAAAAGCATGTTGATATTCTGAACACTCTTTATACGATGACAGTGGCTACTGCTTTTTTGTTAGGTCTTTGTTGCCAAATAGCCACAACACAACCAACTTAGCTGAAAATTGAAAGATGCTCTTCTAGAAATCATGAATATATTCTAGAAAGCCTTTCATTGCCAGGCAAAGTAGTGTGTGTATGTACAGAATTTACATTGCTTTACGGTGATTACAGAGAGAAGATCAAGCCAGCCAACTCTAGACATGCAGAGTTGGGTGGTGTGATGCTACTCCTAAGTGTCCCAAACCAATAAGCACTTTTGAAAATCCCAGGTCATTATCACTTTATAGAAACAACAAGTTACCATTTAATTGCCTAGTGCCTTCTAGGAGTTTCTGTGTAAGCCTGTCTAYAGGAGCAAGGATGGGCCCTGGTTTTAGCTGACGCAGCTGGGATCATCTTTGCTGAGAAACTGCATGCTGAGAGAGTGATGCATGGGATCAGCAAGGAAGCTGTTGGAGCAGGGAAGCAGCTGTAGAAACAGTAAGGCAGTCCAGAAAGCGGGACTGGCGGGTTGCAATTCAATGGCAGAAATAGTTGGGAATTTAGGACTATGAGGTCCTCAATATGAGCACAAGGTTTGTCCTAGAAAGCTTTGTATTAAATGCTTATTCCTCCAAAAAGGAACTTAGGATCTTTCTGGCTCCCATTTTGTGCTGCAAGGCCTTGAAAGCTGATTCTTGCTACCTGGTTATTATATGGCTATCTTCACATATATTGCCATAAGCTAAAAACGCATGATAATTCAGTTTATCATGAACCTCAGTTGCCTAATTAATCTTCCCACACAGTGGAGAGGGGCTAAGGGGTGCATGTGGACACTTAGAATAGCTTACTTGAGGGGAACAGCTTGTTAGGGCTCGGTGACTTAAAAGGCATTTGATTATAATAGTGTCACATGTAACTTCAGAGCCTGAAGGTTAATGGTCAAACTTGTTGGCTAGAGCTCAGAGCTGTAGATACTTCCTGTAATCTCCTTTATGTTTCTCCCGAGGGTACACATGTTAGCAGAAGGTTGCTGCAGTCACTTGCCCTGGTGGTACTGGGTGGCTGAACATGACTTTTATGAGTTTAGGGTTTCTTTTCACAAATAATTAGAAAGGACAAAGTTATGTTCTGTGGGTTTATACACCCCTGAATTTACAGTGGTAAGTTAGCCTTGCAGTGCTGCTGAGAGATTGAGTAGAATCAGAGATTATGTGAATGGCAGACACTTACCTGTGAGTAAATAGCAAAACCAGAATTAAAATCATGCATTTGCAGGCTGGTTCCACAGCAGCTAGGCTACTGTCTTTTCCTCTGCAAAAAAAATAGAAATGCTAAAGAGGAGCCATAGAAGGAAAAATARTTGTCACTGTAGCCTGTGTGAAAATGGTAATATTTCAGGGTCCATAAACATTTTCAAGGCATTTGRGGAAACATAGAACTCCTGCAGCAGGGCAAAATCTTACAGCATCGTGGTGCCCGATGTGGAAGCTGAGAGAACTGCTGGTTTATGGGCAGTTAACTTTTAAGGCATTTTTTGCAAATGATGTTTTTTCCCCCTTTGATAACTTTACCAACTGCAAGCCAGTCATGGGCTGGGTAAGGACAGGAGCCTGGAAAGTTTCCTTCATGGAATACTTCTGCCCTTGATCTAAATGTTACAGATAGTATTCCTTTCCTTGCCCCATGCCCAATGTTTTTCTTTTCAGAAACTAATCAAAAGATTTACATGGATCTGTCTTGCAGTCTACACCGGAGCACCATTAGTGGCATTAACACTAGAACTTATAAACATTATATGAATAGGCCGGGTAACCTGATCCCATGCTGGCTTGTAAAGAGCTTATAAAGAGATGCTAGGCCCCCAAGTGTGTTTATTTCTAAGGAAAATAACACCTTACCTAAATAAATGTTACTTTCAGTGAGCTGGCTACCCTCTTGCTGCAAGCTGCTCTCTGTTGTCTCCTTTGGAAGGAGCTGCAAATGATTTTTTCCCAGACTCTTGCCTCTACCAGAGTGTGCTGAGCGTTACCAGCTCAGCTTCCTTGAGGCCACCGGAGCAAAATCCAGAAACTGGTAAAAAGAAAAGAAAAATGTGGAGGTGAGTTCTTGGTTTGGACCTTTACTTGCTTGATTGAGGAGACCAAGACTTTCCATGCCATCTGCAGTTCTGAGAAAGAAAATTAAAACAAATTTCTAGGCACTTCTTAAAAATTGCTGTTTGTGTCCCTCGTAAGTGGGCACGTGTATTTGTGGAGATGTATCAGTACCTCTAATGTTATATGAAGCAGCTTCAGCTTTAATAGAAATTGGTGGGCATCCATAGCCAATCTGAGAGTGCAGGAGTTGAAGGGAGAAAAAAAATACCAACTTTCTAGAACTGTTTCCTACCGCCATCCCTGTGTTTGCAGCCGTGGCTTCAGGAGCTCGCCTTTTGGAGACGGAGAGAAGAGTCTCCGATTCCGTCAGCCTTTCACTTCCTTGCAAGGCTGTCTTTCAAACAGCCCTGATGTGTATGTTAATGCACAGTACCTTAGAAACACTCCCCAGGGTGTTAAAGACGCTCTCAAATACACAACTATTAATCTCCTGCTTTCATGGATAGTGAAAACAGATTCATGGAAGTGGAAAGCTCAGAATTAAAAAAAAAAGAATAGAAACACATCTTCCTAACAGGAAACTTTCCCCAAGCGTTTAGTAACTTTGCATGCCGAGTGGCAGAGACTAGCAAGTCATGTTAATCAGTCCTGCTTTATAAAAGCAAACAAGGTGGGGAGGAAGTAGTGAGACCTCGAAACATCTGTTTGGAGACTTGGAATCCCCTTAGAAGGTTTTGAGTTCTGTGTTAAAGAAACACAGCTCCAAAAAACTACAGCCAACTGTGGGAACATATTCTAGCTCTTTACAAAACATTAATTATATAAATATTAGTGTATAAAAGGTGAATTCCCTCTACCCTGCTCTCCAGTTTTGTTTCAGGTATGAAGGTGTGCTCTTGCCTGCGTGGCAAATGTTTCCTCGGCAGAGAGAGGCTGGCTCCGATCCATTCCAGAATTGCCAAGGGAAGAGAAGGGAGCTGGTCATTGCAAAGCCAGGTCATCGCACACATTAGAGTGTAATGGTCAGTGTCAGAATAAAGGCAGAAGAGGAATACTGTCGTTTAGTGGCAGTGGAATGCATGGTCCTGTGCAACTTAATGTCCAATGCATATGTCTTTGAGGGTAGCCTTTTGAGGTTAGCAGTAGTTTACTCAAACTGTTAGTTAACATGAGGATGGAATTTGATATCTAAATTTCCACTTTTGTTTAATAAGGATAGCTGAATAGAGATCACTTAATTCACTCTTTTGGTCAATGTTAGTTCTTGTTCTAACTCTTAGTCTGCTTTTTTAGGTCACCTAGGTTACTTAGTTTCTGATATTACATGTTTCTGCAGAAGTGGTACAAGGGAAAGGAATACTTGCATCTTCACTTAGAATGTGTTTTCTTTATTCAGTATTTTTATGGTATTTTAGGAAGGTATCTTAAGATTTTGTGCTTTTTTTTTTAGGAAGCCAGACATTGTTTATTGTTCTTATTTGTTTTTATAATTCTGCTGCAGTTGGGCACAACATTAATTTTGTCCAAAGTTCTTGCTAATAATCTTTTAGCCTGTTAAATTCAACTGAGGGAGAAAAATACAGTGAGAGAAATGATTCAGGTCTGGATTCAGATTGCTTTGTGATTTCTGTGGCTGTAAAGCTCCAAAGGACTTTAAATTTTGGACATACCCACCTGTCTCCTGAACACTCTACACTGTTCTTTAGCTGAATGCTGTTGTGCTTGACAAAGAGTGTGTGTGTGTGTGTGTGTGTGTGTGTGTGTGTGTGTGTGTGTGTGTGTGTAGGGATCTTTGTCCTAAGAAGTAGTTACCTGCAGGGTGAGGCACCTTTGCCACTCATCATTACAGCTAAATAAGAGGAGGTTTTTGGTTTGTGGAATACTGGAATAGTATTTTCTAAATAGAGTTCAAGAGTACTTTAATTCTCAAGCTGATTAGCTATTTCTAATATTGCTGTTAAAAGGTGCACCTTTTTGGCTCCATGCCTCTATTTGGATGCCCTTTGGATTCTTTTGCCTTGGAAAAACTAAGTAGAACAGGAAACACTTGTGCCCTGTGGTTAAACTGCTTTTGGCATTTTGAGGAGGGAAACGGGTGATACAAGCACGAAAGAAACTGATTCCTTCAAGCATTTACATGGATTCTCATTGTGGTTAATCCCTTGATAAGTAATGCTGCTTCTGTTTTTTACTATCTGTAAGTTGGGTTTTTTTTTTCTTTGCAGGGGTGGAATTTGACGTTTCCAGGCTCTATGCAGACATCCTAGTTGCAATARGCATAGGCATGCCTCTTAATTTCATTTCCACCTATGTGGTAGACTACATTAAACAAATTGTGTATGGCAAACTAAAACTGGAGTGTGAAAGTTTTTTTTTTTTTCTCTCTTTACAGGCAAGGTGGTTCTGGGAAGCATATTTTCGATCAATGAAAGCAATTGCTCTTGCTACCCTTCAGATTATCAATGACCGAATTTACCCATATGCTGCCATTTCTTATGAAGAATGGAATGATCCCCCAGCTGTGGTAAGCTAGTTTGATTCACTCATAAAACAGGCTGKTTTTTTCCTTATGTAAGAGGTGTGCACTATGAAACTTGGTAATAGTTGTGTGTTGGTGTTGTGAACAGATGAAGTTAATATATTTTATGATGACTGGCAAAATCACTAGTAGTTCTTTTTATGTCCTGCCTGTGAAATGCAGACTTTTCAYGTTTGCTATTGCACATTTCAAATTGCTTATTTAAGTATTTATTTATTTATTTTGTATGCATGCATACACATATGCATGCACTCCACTTGATTGTTTCTCTTAAACTCAGTGTGAATTTAATGCTCTTAAAAATGGATAACTGCGATGGAAGTACCGAAGATGTTGAACTGTAAAGCTTCTTCATATAATTCTGCAGAAATACCCAATTTATCCAATGCCTGCAATTTACTCCTCCTCCTTTCTACATAATTTCTCTTGTACAGAAGCAAATGACCAACATCTTGCTGGAATGTTGCTTCCTTTTTTCTTCCCCTCCTTGGAAAAGTATGTTTCAGTGGTTGAACCCGTCTCGATCAAGAAGAAACACTGGAGTATTAATTAACCTCCTGCACCTGGTTCTGATTTCCAGTATATAAAAGCCTGCAGATGATTTTCGCTCCAAACTAATTATTTTTTTCTATGTCAAAATATAAAAAATAGTTTGGTTTTACTAATAAAACCAAACTTGTTAATTGTCTCACCCTGTGATGACATAGGGAGAGTTGTTCTGGGAGCAACTACGTGTTTTGCCTTAAACAGTTCAGATGGAGAGAGTGAACAGTGGCTGACAAAGAGCTAATAGCCCGTTACTGTGCTTCAGAAAGGACTTYGTGTTGCCTCTCCCAAGATCTTAATCTACTGTTGTCACTTACTAGAAACATAAAACTTGTCAGTATTACTTAACAAATGAAGCTGAAAAAGAGGTAAGTAATTACACTGAGAAGGAAATCAGAATGCCCTTACACCTTTAGATTATGCTAGCAAAAACRTCCATCCATTTCTCTGCAGGCTATTTTTACTCTGAGCAACAACCAGGCTTCTATTTTTTTGTTGTTTGCTTGTTTTTAACATATGCTTGGAAAAATATATTAGTCTTTCAACCCAAAGGTTTTTCAGCAGAAGGTTTGTTACCACAGACACAGCAACATATAGAACAGCACTGTGAAACTGTGGGCAAACACATAACAGCAATGCTGTGCCAGGGCAGTGTCAGGAATAAACAAGCATATTGTTTCAGTGTGCATTTGGAGAGAAAAGTTAGAGGGCTGACTGCAATTAGCCAGGCTGGAATATGTCCAGGACATTGGAGTTAACACCTCATATCATAACTCTCTCATGCCACAAATGGTCAGTGCCTTGGTGGTTTTATGTCTCAGTTGAAAGAATTTGATGTTTATCCTGGTCTATGAACATTGCTTAATATGTGCATGAATTCACTTCTTGCTTGAGTATGGAACAGAAATGTCATAAAAAGTTCCTTTATGGGCTGTGTAAGCTCTGTGTTAGCCAGCAACACAGAGTGCTTGTGACCCTTTCCCGGGGGGTCACTGAGAGAAAATAGAATTCAGATCGGGAACGGTTCRAGAGCAATTAAACTTGTAAAGCAGAAGTGCTCGGTCCTGTGATGTCCATAACCATGGATTTCGATAGCTACTCTGAGCAGGTATAAACATTTCCTTGCGTCAGACTCTCCTAGTTTTCATAACCAGCGGAGGCTGTTGGGTTATGACCCTTGTTCTTTCATTAGAAGCCTCTAACTGGAGCCTTCTGCAATTTATCTGTGGTGGTAGTTGCTTTTTGGGGGTGTTGTTTGTTTGTTTTCGCTTTGAATATATTTTATCCATTAATTTAAGAGGAGAGCACAGTACAGCTGTACTCTTTTGGGGAACATATTCTCCTGAACTCTGCTAAATCCTAACTTCGGGCAATGTAGAAGGTACTGATATACARTATCAGCCAGTAAATTTTGTAAGTCACTAAGTTCTTAAAAATATGTATTTTAAAATAGTTGCACTATTCTGTTGTCAAAATTGSACAGCAAGCCTGTGCTTTCCAGTGGGAAACGTTCCCCTTGAGCCAGAGAGTGTGTCTCATGTGAGTTTGTGCCTGCCGTGCACTCCTGGCCCTGCTGCAGCTCCCACTTAGCCTAGATGAGAAAGTACAATGGGAGAGCAGATACTTGCACGTGCAGGCTAGCAACACATGGTAAGTCCGATAAGGCAAAATAACTAAGGATGGCTTGGATGCGGTCCTCATTTACAGGAAAGTTGCCATATTTTTCTCTAAATAAACTCCAAGACTGAAGCATTTACAGAAAATGACTTTGGGCTTGCCTCAGGGCCAGGCTGTGAGTGAAGCGCCTGTAAGTTAACATTTGTACTACAGTGAAATGTCCATAAATTCTTGTGTTCCTGGCCAGCACTGCACCYCCAGAGCTTGTCATTCCTCTTTGCTCCTTGTGACATTGTATTTAGTAAATTTTCAGTGCTCTGCTCTCCTGTACACTCACAGTAAGTGGAATCTAGAAGCAGGTTAACAGAAAATGCAGAGCGTGTGAGCACTGTTTTGAGGCAAAGGACTTAGTGCAGATAATCAGAGATTTGTTTAAATCAGTTCAAGACTCTTCCTTAAAAGCTCAGGTCCCTGTGTTCTCAGTGGTAAGGTCTTGAAAATGAGAGCGTGGATTTGCCTGTAGAAGAGTAGTGCAGAAAAGACCAGCTTTAGTAGGTTTATGAGCTTGCTGGCTAGAAGAAGAATACCTCTCTAACCAAGAGCTTGTTCTCGGCCTAAGACCGTCATGCGGCAGAGAATSCGTAGGCAGTGAGAACTGCTGTCCTTGGTTTCTCGCCTGTTTCTGGCTTTACTGTAATACTTCTTTTCCTTGGTTTACTGATAGGAATTAAATTTGCTTAGCATGCCACTAGGATCCTGATAAGTTAGAGAAAAATAGAGTTTAGTAACAATTCTTATGGCTAAAAATTGTTTTGCTGCTCAGTTGTTTCAGGTGTAAAATCAGACAGGAAATGTGTGTTTTTCTGTTTGGACAATGACTGTCTCTAATGAGCGTAACTCTCCAAGGTGTGAATTTTGCTCTTTGTGTTGTTGAGCTATTGCAACCCCYATGACTATGACTTGTATGTTAAGATTCATCACCTAATTGTTTCCTGTGCTTTGTTCTGCTTTTCTATTTTGAGTATAACACAGAGGAACYGAGTCTATTTTGAGTTAATATTTATGGATTAAAGCTTATAGGTGTGATAGATAGAAGAGGGTGTTAAGGGCCTCAGATATTCGCTTAGGTTAAGTTTGTAAGAGCAGCAGGTACAAAAAAGAAACTGCTTTTTTCACAAAAGGCTGCCTCAAGTTGGTTATCATTTGTAAAGCAGTACTATTAAAGACACCTTGCTACTTTCTAAAGCTTTGCTTTTTGCCTGGCAATGAGGACGTATCTGCAAATGTAATAATGTTTGCATATTCATGTCAAAATGACATTAATGCTCATACCTGGAAGGGTTTCATCACGAGCACACTCATGGCTAGATCTACATATAGATCAGCTTTATTCCTGTTMCCACTAAATCAGTCTCTACACAAAGAAATACCAGCCCAACTTGTATTGGTCTATAGTCTCCCAAACACCTTCCATTTCCATAAGCAGGCAAAAGAAGGGATCCTGTTCTCCGCTGCACTTGGATGAAGATTTCTTTCTCWGTGTGCAACCTGCTCCACGTGCTGCTGTTGCATTTGTGTGGCCGTGTGGGGAATTAACCCAAATCAGCCACTTTATTTAAAGCTCAGTCAGCGAAAGGAAAAGACAAGGGGATAACGGGAGCGGGTGGCGGGAGGCTGCTGCTTTGGGCAGTTGTTTGGCTTATGTTGGCTCGGGCTGGTAGTGAGAAGCGGCCTGAGTGTCRTCTTCCCAGCGCGGGTAGAGCAGCAGGGGCAGGGCTGTGGGTTCCAGCGGGAGCTCCAACCAGTACCAATGTGCGGACTTTATTCCCAGTATGTTTTGGAGTAATCCTTTCCATAAAAATGCACTCTGAGATATTGCCCCATTTTAATGAAGAGAGCTAAATGATGTTTTGCAGMCTGAAATTTAATTCCTGGGTCGCTTGCATCCTTGATATCTCTGCCCTTCTTGTGCTGCACGAGTGCTGGCTTTACTGGTCCAGCTTATAGTGCTGGGGAAATCGGCTACGTCCCAGCAAGGCAGAAGATGGTGGTTGACACAGGATGCTTTCTGGTCATTACCAATTTGCTCTGGCTTGAGAAGTAATGACCTTGACTTTGAGACTTGATTTGGTATCTTAAATTAAGCACATCTCTTTTGCCCTAGTAGGAGTAAATTAGTTTATTCCTTTTTTAAGAGAGAGAGAATTATTATTTAAATGGTAGCCTTACTTCACCTTCTATGTCCCTATCTTTTGTTGGATGTTAGGAGGAAAAAAAAAAAGACATTTTCTTCCTTTCAGCTTTTTTGTTGCCCTTGGTAAAATTCTTTCAAGTCTGTTTATAGCATAGCCCTGTAAAACATTAGGTCTTGTGTACCAGTGGCTGCTTTTGAGTTYTGACCTTAGATGATATAGACTGTATCGTAAAATAATCACTTGAGAATATCCTATGCTGAACAATAAACATGCTTTTTACCAGACTTATTTTTTCCCACTGAGGCAGGAAACAGCACTGCCATTTAGATTTAAATAAAACAAATAGCCAAGCTAACTTGAAGTAAAAAATGCCATTCGTTTTGCAAAGTCTGAGCTGGATTTTCATTAAGAGAATAGTTTGTGGGCTTCAGCCAATTACTAGACAGAAATTTTTAATTTGACCATAATAGACATGCTTATTAAGCAATTAAACTATTTCTAAGTTCTTTGCATTTTATTGAAAAGCTTATGGTCCCAGGATGATAACCATGTTTTATTTTTGTTTCCTTCTCAGCACTACTTCTCATCTTTAAAACATTAAGTATATATTGGTACATGTGTTTAATT